GAAACTTTAAATTGGACAGATCAAATGATCCATTATAATGAAATAATTGATATTTGTTTCGTTTTTTAATGCTTACTTGTATAGAAGTTATTTTCTATCACAGTTTATCTTAAAACTTTTTTTGAAGTGTTGATGATAAAATAAACTGCAAACTGTAAAAATCTTAATTTTTTTGTTTCACCAAAGATGGCCAATAAGCCTTCAACACATTGTCATTGTTTGTGTGAAAGACTCGAAGAGACCAGAATGAGAATAACAGTTATAAGGCGAAAAAAAAAATTTGAATATTAAGATCTAAGATTAAGATATTAGACATCAAGTAAGTAAGGGTGATTTTTTAAATACTTGAATATATATATATAATTTCTCTCTGTATTTACGAATTTCTTGCCTCAATTGGAGCAGACTCACTGTGGATATGTAATTTTAAAAAAAAAACAAACAAACAAAACCAAAACATTGTTTCAAATAAAGCTACAGAAAACTCTTTGTTCATTTAACTGTGGCTCATGTGGAATTTATCTGGATATATCAAATTATATACTTTTATTTAGATAAATATTCCTTTTTTAGTTGGTTAAATTATTTTAAATATTTTAATAATTAAGTGTTATATAAATATCTAGCTCTAATTGTATTCATGTATATGCGTTTAAAAACACACACTTTTATGCTATATCTAAGCTAAATCTGTAAAAGAATGTTAGTCAAGATTGATATCATGAATGAAGGAGCTGAATGGTTCTATCATTTTTCACTGAAGCATTAAAAGGTTATTTTTAGTCAAAGGCTCACTGTCAGCTTCTTAGCCATATTTAACACGGAAGCTCATAAACATATCAGAGCCAAATGATTTCCTTACAAGTGTTCCAAAAGACAACCGAAGTCAGTTAAGCTGTAATCTGACATTAGGCTGACAAAGCATGCACACTTCCTCAGCAGTGCAGCTGAGGAACCCATGCTACCATGTTGTGAGTGGAGGTTAGCCACCATGCTGTTTAAGCTGGGGGAGCGGGTGATTGCTGCATGCTCCCGGAACTTACTCTATTAGTCGCCTGAGGGGCATTGTGAGTGTGACTATGTGCCTGAAGGTCAGAGATTGAGATCCACAAAGATGACTTGTCTGATAAAAGTTAACGGACTACCAACTGCAAGAAGCAAAGGAGATGAGAACAACACAAACACTCTTACAACATTTATTACACCTCCCCAGACATACTCCACCCATAAGTGAACATCAAGTTGTTATTTATAGAATACCCTGGCGGTGTGTATGATACATTGGTCATAGGGGAGGACAGGCTCAGACACACACATGCAGACAAAAGGGGAGCAACGTACCTCCCATCGATGGGTCAATAACCCTATGACCATCTTATATTCATCACTGAAACTTAGGAAACATAGACCCTTTTATGTTAGAAATTATTGTTGCCTTGCAAAAGGATCCAAACATTCATACCATTGTAGCCTCCTCTTATTTAAGAATAAAAGAAAAGATGGAAAACAGTTTCTAGAACATACTTTTTCCCAAAATTACCCAAGTGATACTAACATAATATAGTTTTACCCAACTCTGCTTTCCCTCTTCCAATAAGGCCAGATTAATGGAGTGTGCATTGCGTATGTGTGCCTCCATATTGTTCCACCTATGGTTTTCTGCTGCTCCTCTAGACCAACTGTGAGGTTTAATGCTGCTTATTTAATGCTCTTCTTGCAGCCATATATCAGTAGGATTGTAGTTGTCCCGCATCGATGTATCAAACTCCTACTTCTTTTCTGTCAGGCTACAGGGGGCTGGTGCTTATATCCAGTAGGTAATGAGCGAAAGGCAGCATACACCCTGGACAGTTTGCCAGTCCGTTGCAGGTCAACACAGACAGACAACCATGCACACCGTTTGGAGTCACTAATAAACTTTTTGGACAGTGGGAAGCGGGTTACCAGTAAGAACATGTGGAAAACATGCAAACCCAATGCAGGAAAACCCTTTGGCTAGGAATCAAAGCTATTTAAGACCTTCTGAGGCAACAGTGCTACAGTCTGCAACACCATGCAGACTGTGCAGTTGTGCTGCACTTTCTTCATTCTTGGATGACAGATTAAAGATTTGGCTTTTAATGTGATTGAATCTTCGACACAAATCCTTACTGACATGTTGGATCTCTTAATACACAAATACACAGCATATACCTTACTGTAGCAGATATACAGTATATAGATTCGGATCTTATTAAACTGTATTAGAATATAAGGGTGAATACATGACGGCTATATGCCCCATACTTGTAAGGAATCAAAGACATGCATCCTTTGGTCCCAATTTACAGATTAGGTAGTTTATACAGATATCTTTGGTGTGATTTAAACTGATTAACAAGCACAAAATACTGCATTTTGCGTTTCTGTCTGGTCAAAGTAGATCAAACATTATCATGTAATGTTTCTGTTTGAAATAATGTGATTTAAAGTTATATATTGTCTGTGAAAAGACCAGTAGATATGGATTTTGGTTCAGTTTTGTACAATATTCTGCATATATTCCCAACTATCAGTGGAATTTAAAAGAGATTTCTAATTAGAATTAGAATTAGAATTAGAATTCAACTTTAGCAACGAAATGTGGTTTACATCTATCCAGAAGTGCTATACAGGATATAAATATTATTACAGGTGTATCTACAAGCAAAAAGTAATAGTTAGGGACTGTAAAAGTCGTGTATAAATATAAATATGAATATGGGAGCTACATGCACAGATTATACAGAATATACAGGAATGTTAGGAAAAGGATTATATATGTATTAGCGGATTTATAATACAAGATAAATAATGGCAGATAAGATTTAAAGATTTACAGATTATATACAGATTGTATACAGATTGTGTATGTGTGTGAGAGGAACAGTCCATGGTATGTGTGTGAGTGTGAGGACAGTCCATATGTTATTTTTGTCCTTAAAGTTGTGTCAGGAGGCATTCAGGAACATGACAGCTGTGGGAAAGAAGCTGTTCCGGTGCCTGGTGGTTCTGGCCGTAGGCTTCTGTAACACCTTCCAGAGGACAGGAGGGAGAAGAGTGTGTGTGCAGGGTGAGTGAAGTCCTTGGTGATTTCCCCGGCCCTTTTCAGACATCACTTCCTATCGATGTCCTTGATGTTAGGGAGTGGTGCGATGTGCTGGACAGTTTTCACCACCCTCTGCAGCGCCTTCCGTTCGGCGACAGAGCAGTTCCCGTACCAAACTGTAATACAGTTGGTGAGGATGCTCTCACCAGCGGTAGAAGTTCGTGAGGATCTCTGAGGACAGGTGGTTCTTCCTTAGGGTCCTCATGAAGAAGAGGCGCTGGTGTGCCTTCTTGATGAGCTTGGAGCAGCTGATCGTCCAGGTTAGGTCCTCTGAGATGTGGACTCCCAGGAACTTAAAGCTGTCCACACACCCCACAGTTATCCTCTTGATGTGGATGGGTGGGTGTAGGTCAGCGCTCCTCCTAAAGTCCATAATGAGCTCCTTGGTCTTCTCGGTGTTCAGCTGCAGGTTGTTTTTGTCGCACCATTCAGCCAGACGTTCCACCACCTCCCTGTAGGTGTCGTCTGCAAACTTGATGATGGCGTTAGAGCCTTGGACAGGTCTGCAGTCGTGGGTTAGGAGAGAGTAGAGGAAGGGACTCATCACACAAACCTTGTGGCACTCCGGTGTTTATAATGGTGGTGGATGAGCAATGGTTGTCCAGCCGAACATGTTGGGGTCAACCGGTCAGGAAGTATAGCAACCAGTTGCACATGAGTGAACTGATGCCATGGTCCGTCAGTTTGTTAATGAGTTGTGATGGGATGACAGTATTAAATGCTTAACTAAAGTCTAAGAACAGCATTCTGGTGTAAGTGTTCTTGCTGTCCAGGTGAGAAAGGACAGAGCGCAGTGCTATGGAGACTGCATCCTCTGTGTTTCTATTCTTCCTGTATGCAAATTGGTGGGGGGGAGACAGGATCTGAAGTGTGCTAGGACCAGTCGCTCCAAGCACTTGGTGATAATGGGGGTGAGGGCTACCGGGCGGTAGTCATTGAGTCTGGTTGGGTTGGAGTTCTTGGGGATTGAGACGATTGAGGTAGACTTGAAGCAGGTCGGTACCACAGCGCGGGCCAGGGACAGGTTGAAGATGTCCGTCAGCACTCCTGCCAGCTCCCCAGAGCACACTCTGGGGACACGTCCAGG